ATAAGGCAAACTCACCACCTCTGTATGAAGGGCTGTGGGAATCACCCATATGTCAACCTTAATTCAGGGCTCAGGGTTCAAAGCCCAGCATTTCAGAAACACACTGTGGGGAGAGCAGCAGCTTCTGGGAGAAGAGACAGACAAGAATTTATTTTCATTTCTTGTTGTAGTGAAAAGGGCTTCTGCTCTCTGCAACAGTCGATGGCCAAATCAAATGACTTTTACAGTATTCTTTGCCTTTTAAATGTAGAATAAACTACGCAAATAATGTGGAAGGATATGAAGGCTTGTTCTGAAGGCAGAATTGCCCAGAGAATGGTCCTGAATAACTGCAATATAAATATGTATTCAAATAATTCGATTAAGCATGGAGTAAGAGTAACAAGCTCTGAAATGAACACTGTAAGAGTGAAGAACAACATAGTGTAGTCCCTCATTAGACTCTGAGTATTTTTTATCTTGCAGTCACTTTGTATCCTGTGTTACATTTGTAAAAAGAGTGAGTTTTACTCTGCTAGTACAGAAGAAAAACAGGAGGCAAAATCAAAAGCATTGTCATTAACTGGTATCAAATCCACTATAATTGTAACTATACATACCAATGAGCAGGAAAGCCAAGTTAGACCTGGGGAGAAATAAATCCTGGACAAGTGAGTACTTTGGATTTCTAAAATTATCTCCATGTCAGTGGATCATAACTGACATCTATTAATTCTTTAACAGAAACAATCACTAGGGATATATTTGCCCAGCAAAAGCAAAATGAAATGTAATTGTCATACAGGGAGGCATCTCAGAGCTGACTTATCTAGTGTGGATCACATGTAACACGGCAGCATGGTCTAGCAACTTTTATTTCTTTACCTCTTTCATGAATCACCACTGCTCATGGTGTGAGTAATACCTCAAGGGCTGGACAGCCAGTTTCAGATTCCCTTTTAGAAGACTTCTACCTGTATCTCTTAGGAATGTGTTTTAGTCACTCAGACATTCTGGGAGGTGCTTCTCTATGTCATTTCTGCCAGTAAGGGTCTCTTTCACATGATACATGTGAATATTTGTTGGGGCAAGGCTGGATGAGTCCTTCTGGACTGGCTGGGAAGTACTCTCAGGCCAGGTAAATGCTCTAACAGAGAGTGATAACATCTGTCTTGTTCTCTTGTGTCCAAAATCACATTTATTTCTTCCATGAAAAGGCAAATATTGTTCAGCAGTACAGACAAAGACTATCTCATTCCAAAGTACCCTATAGCCTGGGCTCATAGCGTTCATTCTCCAGAGAACAGGGATCTCCATGCTTGAGCAGCCTCAGCCAAAAGCCCCAACCAAATTAAGTTCACCTACAATACAGACAAATGTTCTAACCATGAGGCTATATGGAAAACAACATCAGCCTCTATTCTGTTCTGGAAAAAACATCAGCACTCATGCAAAACTTGCTGCAAAAACATATCTGAGTTTATCTAATAAATCAAGCACATTAGCTAACAGAAGGGGAGGAATGCCTGAAATAGTGTCTAGGTGTTCCTCTCCCTTGCCTGACAACACCAGGGTAGGCTGTGTACCTCCTAAGGCACAACCAGCATTTCAGGCACTCACATAAAATGAAAGTTGAAAGTTGAGACCTTGTTCTGCCAATGACCAGGCCCAACAAAAATGATACCACCAGCAGGAAGATGAACCAATACACAGACTGTATTGTAGACAAGAAGGACATTCCATGAATGATCGCTGGGGGTACAAACAGATCAATCAGCTGGTACATAATTGACGCTACCCCCAACAATCTCACAAAGGACATAACTTGGCCCACAACAGGTGGGACAAACAGAGACCCGAGGTTGCCCACAGATGGCATGGGAAACAGCCAGACCAGCCAGTTAAATATCTAAGAGAAAGGTGCCCACATGGCAACTCTCACCTGATCCGCCCGCGTTCACAAAGGTCTAAACAGACTGGGGCCCAGCTCCAGGGAGAGTCAGGAGGTCTGCCCTGAACCAGGAAGCTCTGTGGAGTACACTCCACAGACAGACACTCCTGACTCCCTGCAAGTGGTCCCAGCTTTCATCCCCAAGCAGACACTTGACCTTTGTCAACTCAATGCGGGACCCCTGGGGCTCATTTCCCTTCTGGCTCTCCCTGCAGGGCCGGCCGCACCCTGGGGGGAAGCTATAAGGCAAACTCACCACCTCTGTATGAAGGGCTGTGGGAATCACCCATATGTCAACCTTAATTCAGGGCTGGGGTTCAGACCCCAGCATTTCAGACCTCTAGTGAGTAGCAACAATGCTGGAGTTAGATGCTGGCTGAGGAAGGCTTTTGCAAATGGCAGTTTGGGTTTAAGTCCTTCCAGTGAGGACTAGGTGTTCAAATGTTTTAGTGGTTCTAATCACTATGGATATCCGATGCTTTCATGGTCAGGTCATGGTGAGAAGTGAAATGAAGGTGGAAAACGAAGACCTTAGTGGTGCCTACATTGGATTAATGTGGCAAAAGTGCCAGTCTGAGGCCTGTGTCCTTTTGTAGATTCAATCATTCCTCATTTCATGAAGCAAAGGTGGCTGACTTCTTTAGAACCTATAGCAAACATTTTAAAAATTACAAATAGATATTTTTTTCACCTAGAAATTTTGCTTCATGATACCCACTTTACTAAGAAGTCAATATTGCTTTAATCGATTTAGAGACTTAGCCCTGTCACTCAGCAGGTCTTTATGTCTACTGACAGTGCTGATATGTTTGCAAGTATGTGGCATGTCATCTATGCTACAAAGAGAAGTTTTATTCTGTACAGAATATGGGATCTCTACACGTTTCTTTTAAATCCACCAAGTTCTGTAACACTTTGAGAAGGAAGCATACTTCCGATTTACTTTATCATTGTTTAATGCTAGCAAGGAATACAAAACATACCGGCAAAGGAATGCTCTAAGGAACACCTATTTCGAGTCAGAATATAGAAAGTTTTGCCAGTGGGTGGCACTGTGAAATAAATACGCAAGGAGCAGCTGAACAGAAAAGCACTTAGCACAGCAAGGGAAAGACAAGACATGAGAACAACTGTTGGAAATCAAATACTTCTGACGTTTACAGGATTTATGGCTTTCCAGTATTTATTTACTGCTTTCATTTCATACTTTCCAAGTTACATATTGCATTGTTAAACTGTTGTGCACTGCTATCAAGAAATAAACATTTTGAAACATATGGTTATTGACCAGCTCTGAATTAATTTATTTTATCATCCTTTCCAAGGCTTACTGAAGCTGCCTATTTTTTTTTTTTTTAAACACTATGATGCTCAAGTAGAAACAATTAGAAGCTAAAATATAAGGAATACCCCTTTCAAATATAAACAACTAGTCATCTTTGCTCTTATTTGTCAATGACCACAGAACTACAAAGAAGCAAAATATTCTCCTTTGTCTAACACTGGGAAGTAAAGGGTGCATCTTTTTATGCTTGCTTAAGTTTAATATATCTAAAATATCTCAAACTCCAGCCTCACAAGGCTGTTACAGCTCTTGTTCTCCAAAACCATTTATATGGTTTTGTAAATCTCTGTCTAGAGTCTTCTAGTGTCCTTTGGTGTCAATAAGATTAAAAAATTTATGAGCTTTACAATCTCTAGAATTATCATTACTGAGTTACCATATAACTATTCAGAGTCATCAGAACATATTTTTTCAACCAGTCTTTACTTAGAAGTACTGCCCTTCTAAGTCCTGCCTTGAAACACTCCTTGGGACAACAGCAGCTATGGTCAATAGGAAATACCATGGAGGCTGCCTTTAAAGGGGATATTTACTTTCGTGGCTCTTTTGGTCAGTTCTACTAACACTTTAATCAGATGATACTCTATCTTGAATTCTCCCCCTCCTCCAAGATATTCTCATAAAAATCCCATGATACATACCTACTCGTAACTTGAAGTCATTGAATGAATGCTTGTTTATGACATCCAGTTTTGCCACCAAGGCAAATGCGAACTCCACCATGGTTCCTATGTGCATATACTGTCGTTCAGGTTCCTGAATTTAAGCAGCCAAACAGTAAAATCATTTTCTTTAGTCTTAATTGCTGTGAGAATACAACCATCATATGCTGAACAATTGAAAGCACTTAAACTCTTACAGAAGTCCTAAAGCCAGCAGGCAGCAGCAGTAATGCAGAAGATGGTGCCCTGTCCAGCACCAGTGAGATTAAACAATGTCCAATAGACCAGGATGCATTTTACTTGCACAATCAGGCAGTTTAGAGATGAGAGATCCAAAACATGCCTAATCTGACATTTTGATTGTCGAATTACTTATCAGCTGCTACCTAGTCCCATAGGCACTCAATGACTGTGTGCGCCTAGGACTTGCTCATTAATTCTCTCCAAGTGTCTGCTTCTGGTTTATGCCCTTTAGTAATAAATAATCTTCATGGACAGCCCCACAGACACTCACTGTTGCATAGCTCAGCACCCTAGTTAATGCTTAAGATCCAGTGAAATTCACAGTTTTAAGAGTTTCTCCACTGATCTTATTTGGTAGATAAGCAAGCACCTCTGAAAACATCTCATGGACCTCAAAACAAATAAAATACAAGAGGAAGAGAGGAAGAAGACAATCCATCCTCTGTCCCCTAATTTACTAGCTCAGAGCTTATACCACTCATAAAGACTATAGACTTAATGTATCCTCATATATCAACAGTGTATCCTGATTTCTAAGTACTGGTTTGAGTCCCTTCAGGCTGAGGAGAAAATTTGGTTTTGGGCTGTAGGACCCTGACAAGAGAATGATTTTATAAGAGATGAACTCACTGATCTCTACAACAAATTACCGAATCTTCTTCATTTCTTGTGATAAAGTGACAGAAGAGATGGACAGATGACAACTTCAGAAAATTATGATTCATAGAGTAGATATATCAGCCTAGGTGGAACAGTAGTGATGCTTCCCAGGGCAGCTGTTTAGATGAATGAATCCTCTTTACTTTGGAGTTCTCTCCTAGCTAGAATAGATGGTTTCCTGTTCACTTGATGTATTCTGACCTTCTTTAGGCACTTATTCTTCATCGGGTGCTTGTTTTAAGCTAGAGGTGGTTCCCAGAAGTAGGCCTAGCAGTCACTGCCACAGTAGGTACTGCAGTATCTATGCATCTTTGGGCATCTGGACTGAAGGCTGATGAGTTCTGGTGGTTTCTTTTGAAAATGTTTACTAAATCAACAAAAAAAAAGGTAAAACTTGCATCTCTTGATTTACAGTTTGTGTAAACAACTCAAAAAATAAATTTCTTCTTGTGCCTACAGTAGTTTTAGTTGTGATTGAGAGCTCCTCTATGTCTTTTCATCTTCTGTCTACAAGTTCTCCATGGGACAGCAGTGTGCCCTTGTGGCCAGGAGGGCCAATGATATCCTGGGCTGCATTAAGAAAAATGTGTCCAGCAGAACAAGGGAGGTCCTACTCCCCCTCTCCTCTGCCCTGGTGAGACCTCACCTGGAGTATTGTGTCCAATTCTGGGCTCCCCATTTCAAGAGGGACAGAGATCTACTCGAGAGAGTCCAGCGGAGGACTATGAGGATGACTGGGGGACTGGAACACCTGCCCTGTGAGGAGAGGCTGAGAGACCTGGGGCTTTTAGTCTGGAGAAGAGAAGACTTAGGGGGGATCTAATTAATGTGTATAAATATATGAGGGCTGGGTGTCAGGAAGGAAGAGGCAATCTCTTCTCACATATGCCCTGCGATAGGACGCGAGGCAATGGATACAAGCTGGAGCACAGGAAGCTCCACCTCAACATGAGAAAGAACTTCTTTCCTGTAAGGGTTCCAGAGCACTGGAACAGGCTCCCCAGGGAAGTTGTGGAGTCTCCTTCCTTGGAGACTTTGAAGACCTGTCTGGATGCGTTCCTGTGTGACCTGCCCTAGACTAGATGGTCCTGCTCTGGCAGGGGGGTTGGACTCTGTGATCTCCAGAGGTCTCTTCCAACCCCTAATATTCTGTGATTCTGCATCCCCTTCACTTCTCTGTATTAAATGTCAGAGCTAATTTCAAATATTTTTTTTTTTTTTTGTCATCAGGATCCTTAGGGTCTATAGGTCAGGTGTTAATTGTTGTTGTCTAGAAGGAACATGAGCTTGGCAAGACAACATTAGTCCTTAGCAGAGAATGTGTTGATTCATAATTGCTGTGGTTTTGTCTCTAACCTGTAGTACTCTAAAGACCATGGCAAAAACCAAATCATGAATTGCTTCTCTGAACGTCACTTCTACAGACTATAGTTCCTAATCCTACCCTATTAGCTAAACCAGAAACAAAAGCACACGTTCTCAATGCTGAGCCTGAGAGTTCCATAAGGGTATGGTTAGTATCGCTACTCAGCATTCCCAGCTTACAATTGGAAATACTCATTCTTGCAGTCTTTTGTACAGTCTATAAATCCTCTTCTACTGCATGTAGGAATAAATGTTACATTTTATTTAGAGTAGAAACCCATTTTAGATTTACCAAATACAGAGGGGGCATTTTCAAAGCTCAATATGAAGAACAAAAATTCACAGAGACTACTAAACAAATGTATATGCTTGTCCAGTACAATCCAGTAAGATCTATATTGATAGGGAAAAACTAGGCCACAACTTTATACATAACCTGCAGTTTAATGAACAGAATTTTAGCCTTCATTTGAACATGTTTTTTATTAAGCATGAACCCTGTCCTGTACCTGACACTGTTCTTGGTTGGGTGTAGCACTCAATCCTGTTGCTGCCATGTAAGTGCTTCCAATGGTTTTTATCTTTTCAACTCCACTGAACTTTGGCTTTGACAATAACTGTAAAACAAGGATGGCTATTTATTATTCAGATCAGCAACTTTGTTTCTCTAACAGCATTGCTATAACAACAGCATTCAGAGCATCAGTTCTTAGTCTCTTAATAAACCCCAAATGGCTGTACAAATATATACAGGATGAAGGACTTAAGGACACATAAAACAGTGGTTATAGCCTCCAAAGAGTGGAAATTCCTGTCAGATTAAAATATGCATTTATTATAAAGGGATGAAATTTTTGTAATGGGAATAAATTCCATCTTGTTGTACCTACAGTTGTTAAGAGTCAGTAGACTTCGCACTCATTTGGTATTGGAACTGAGTCACCATGTGAACCAATGGTTAAGCTTTAAGTAGCTTTCTGAAAGTAAGCATCTCTTACTTTACTATGTGTAGAAGAAATGGTCCATGATGGTCCATGCCAATGGGACAAAATTCCAAGGATTTTAGTTCATATCCCAGGCTGTTTTGGACATTCCAGTGTTCACCAAATGAGTTTGCTGCTAAAATACCCTCTATAGCTGCAGATCTGCAAATCAGACTGTGCTGTCTGAGTGATGACATGATCTTAATGCCTTTTTCTGGTCTGTTCATCACTAATAACCTTCTCTAAGACAAATACTGTTCTCAGTGAGATCTTTACAGCTGCCTTTTCACAATCCATCTGCAGTCATACTCTGTAACTTCAGAGAATGGAATATTAAAACTTACAGAGTCCTTTGAGTCACTCTGTATCAACTGCTCAATGCTCTGTATAATGAGACCAGCATAGATCAGGTATAACACAAAGCTGTATCATTTTAGGGGACACAGATTTATGTACCTGAATTTAGGGACTAGTATTTAGAAACTGTAGTTACCATATGGCATGTAATATAACTGCCTCATGAACTGCAGGTAAAGGGCAAAAATTTCTCCATCAGATATGCACATAGAATGTTCATAATAGTGAATGAAAAGCAATTGAGTATGATGTCAGATCAATATCTGATTTATCCCACATAAATATCTTTTTCGACTGAAACCATATGTTGTTTGCTGCTAGAAGTACATACATCATCAAAGTCAGCAATGATCTCATTTAGCAGCCTGAGACATTCCAAGCCTTCCTTATTTACATCAGATTCCGTGTAAAATTCCTTGAAATCCGGAACAGAGGCAAACATAACGCAGACACAGTCATATGACTGATGATAGAGATCCTGTCCAACAGAAAACAGAGTAGACAAAAAGTATCAGTCATACCCAGCTCTAAATAAGTTTCCCTATTAATATGCAGTGTCTTTGTTCTGAAAAGGGAATACCTAAATCCACACAGTAATCTTCAGGTGTTCCTTGAAGTTTTGCTGAAGTATCTAACACTGGATACTGCCGGGGCCCTGCGCCCTAACTCCTCTCTTACTATGATTACCACTGAAAAACAATGTCTGTCTTACAGACATTAACCATGAAGCCCTAATTAGCTACTAGGAAGTGCCTTTGCTGTCTTCCTTGAAAACAAAAGTGTTGCCCAGAATAAATCATGGCAACTCACACAATGCAAATAGGATTGAGCAAAAGACAGGAGCAGAGATTCTAATATAAGTGTTGTGACACAGGAAGATCACCGTTATGCTTTGGGCTGTCCACCCAGTATGGTGACAACTAACCTGCAAGAAAGGGTTTCAAGCCTGACACAAATCAGTCAGTTACAGACATAAATCTTATTCTATAACCTGAGTTATTACTCCCTTCCTCTCCTCCACCATAAAAATAGATGAACACATTGTACATAAAGACTTGTCATATGCAGAGGTTCATCAACAGTGTCCCATTTCTATTCCTCCCTCTATGATGCTGGGGAAATATCCATCCCCAGTAATGCTCTGTAGCATAGGACCAGCACGGAAGCAACAACTGGTACTGTTTATAACCAGACGAGTAGTAATTGTGGCTGTCACAATAAATGTCAGAGAATTCTAAGGAGGCACTCCCAGCCAGTTTAATGTGATAATTCATAGTAATAAAGGCTGTGGCAACTGGATGTCTTAATTTCCCTGTAAGGACTTATCTTGTAACAGTGCTCTCCAAAATGTTAATCAGAAAATTAAATGCAATACCATCCCAGGAAGGAACAGTTTTGCTTCTTTCAACAAAAAATAACATAATCTTGTCCTCTGCAATTTCCCCCCCCATCCCCCCGCCCACTCCTTTTTTTTTTCCCCTTTGATAACATCTGAATTTCTGCTGGTTGGCTCTCCTTACTGCCCCGTCTTTTCTAGTGCCTGGAAATCTTCTTGGGATGGAAGAGGCAAACTGGTCTTATTCTATCTCTTGAAAGTGTATGTCAGTCAACTTCTCTGCAGCAGAATTTCTCCTCTAAGTAGGGTGCTGGCTCCATCCTGTAGCTAATGAAACAAGATTCCTCTTGCTCAGTTAATATGCTTGTCAGTCAGCTTGAGCAGTTTTTACTAATAGGGGATCTGGATGCTAATGGCATAAAGGAAAAGGCTGCACAAGCCAAGTGCAGATATATTTAATCCTGGCCTGTTTCCTGGTTTTAATTTTATATGTTTTAATTTTATATGTTTTCCTATCGTTCTCTCTCTCAACTGGAAAGTACTCTGTTTGGTATCCAACATGCAGACTATAAGCAGAAACCCAATTCCATAGGTTCTGATAAAACAAAGAAACCTCAACATCAAATCATTTCTACTTCAGCTGACCTGACAGACCGGACAACTCAGCACATTACAATTTCTATTATTTACTACATTTACTAAAGCTCATTCCAGCCTAAGAATCTTGAGGGGTGACAATACAAATCCAGTTGCCAATACAAAGGTGAGCAGATGGTGTTGCCCTGCTGGGGAGCTGAGGTGGAATAGCACATAAATGAGAAAGCAATCTCTTGATGGTTTGCTGTATTTAATGCCTGAACTGAGAACTGGAGCTGAGCCAACTTGGCTTCCAGCCAAGGTCTTCAGTAGATTCAAAGGAACCCCACAGCAGTTTTCATCCAACATTAGTTACCAGATGAATATTTGCAGGTAGTACTGAAGTACTGATACAAAGTACTGATTAGTACTGTTTAATGCAAACCACAGTGAAATGGAAGACATTGTCCTTTTTGACTCAGAAGACCAAAACTGAATCTCTAAAGCTGCACTCTCCCCTTGTACCAGTATTGGAACAATTGTTTTGCATGCATAAGTAATTCAAACTATTGCATTTAAGATCTCTAGAACTGCTACTCTCTGAATGCTTTTTATTTTTTGATCCTTTTTGCTTTATGAAAACTGTAAAGCAGTATTAGGAGCAGATCTAATTTCCACTCAAGTCGGCAGGGATCTTTTCGTTGACTTTTCTGATGCTTGGATGAGGTCCATAAGCAGTGAGTAACTAGGTAATTCAGTGTTCAGAATCTCTTTTCAGCATTAACATAGCCACTGATTCAGGGAAAAGGTTAATTTTCACTCCAATAAGCAAAGTCTCCAGTCACTATAAGAAAATTCAGAACCTGTATACAGCTCTACTCTTATCACAAAGAAAAAATATCTGAATACATATGATTTAAATTTAAATCCATGGTGGTTCAACCACCTCTTTCCTCCTCACCCTTTTGCCTCCTTTGAAAGGCAAAATGCATTGCCACTTAAGATAATTTCAAGGTACTAAGGCCCATTTAGTGCTGTATGGCAAACCTTTCAGGCAGGTAAGGGGGAATGAAAGTGACTGTAAATCTAATCTCGCTGTGTGGACCTACAGTTTAAATCAGCATTAAGTTGTATTTCCAAGATGTGCTGCTTTCTTACAGCACAGAGAATATACAAAGATGGCTGACCTCATTCTTCAGGTTTCTTGCCAAGAAGTGTTCAGCTACGTGGGCTGGAAGCACATTCTCTAGAAGCACCCGATTTAGGTTCTCCATGGTTTCAATCTCTTCTCGCTCTTTTTTGAACTTGTTCTTCCACAGGAAGTCTAACCTACAGTAATATTCATTCTGTTACAAGAGGACACAGAGGTAAAGAAACAATAGGCATCTTGTCCTGCTGGAGTACAAGTTTAAGAAACAAAATGTGCACAGTACACCACCCCTACAAGGCTATTATTTGGCCACGCAGATACAGTTACAGATCCCACAGAAATCAAACCCCAAGCATGCACTATGTGACCTACATTTCTTCGAACTTGTAAGGCTGTCCTCCAAAAAAGGCCCATAAATAGGCCCAGGAAAAAAATAAAATTGCACGGTGCCTTAAAGAATGGAAGATTCATTTATTTACTCTCAGACTTTAGCAGAAATTCATTCCAGAAATCAAACACCATTATGGAAACGATTCACAGTTTTGCAATTTAATGTGATATCTTATTTAGCTGAGGTGTAAAATTTCACTTATGATAATGGACATTTCAGGAAGACTCTATATTTTGCCAACTTGAACTTGTGTCATGCAATCAGCCTGGTAAAAAGGGGGCAGTACAAGAAAAAACAGCCTATTGATGTAATGCACCTTCAGTTTATCAAATCATTATCAGGTTATCAAAAATAGCACAATTAGATGGGCCAACTTAAGTTTTGGGTTTGTTTCGTTGTTTTTTTTGTCTTGTTTTTGGTTGTGGTGTTGTTGTGTGTTTGTGGTTTTTTGTTTGGTTGGTTGGTTTGTTTTGTTTGTGTTTGCTTGGTTTTGATTGCTTGTTTGTTTGTTTGTACATTCTTTTCTATAGTACTTTATCCTTCTTTTCTTTCTGTCCCAGAGTTTTCATAATTGTTTTTTACCATCCCTAACAATAACAATAACTGGAACTTTTTGGAATGCATAACATCCTTGGAATATCAGTATTTTCTGAGATAAAATTTCATTAAAAATATTTTGAAAAATGAATAAAAATGCAATTTTGCGGAGCTCTTTCTATCTTTCAATATTCTCAATGTTTTGTTGTAAATTCTATGACATTATTTCTACAGGAAAGCCTACACTGGCCTATCTCATTTGAGCTGATATAAATCAAGAGCTATTTCAATGTAGTTCAATGTTTTAATACTATCATGCACCCTCAGTGAAAACTATGTTATAAACCAGGAGAACATGATTATGATCACAATCTTATTATAGAACAACCTAAAAATGCTAGCTAGCACTATTAGCAGTCACTAAGAATTCACATCAAAATGTGAGTAGTCCTGGTTGGATGGTGGCTGTCAGAGCTCAAAATGATTCATATTTTGTTAAGATCACAGACAAAGCTAGAATTGAACGTTGAAATGACATGGCATTAAAATGATTTGGTAAGGTTTAATTATGTATATTATACAATTATACTTCTAAGTTCCCCACACAGAAGATAAATTCAAATGCCACCAACTGTATTAATGCAGAAAAAAATCCAATAAAAACCTGGGTTGTCAAAATTATGTGCCTAAATTGACAAAAGTATACTGGATGCTTGGCATAAAACTGAAATTAGGTATCTATATATTGTACCAACTTTGTATTGAAAAGAAAATGTGCTAGATAAGCTGAAGTCTTCAAAAAGATATATTTCTTCTTTAAGAACTAATATCAAACAGATAATTTATTCACTGCTTTATTGTTTATTGAATGAAATTTAGGCTGTCATGTCCTAAAAAAAAAATGGCAGAGAACTCAGAGATCAGAAAAAATAAAGCAGAATGTATTCTAAAATTCACTTTGAAATGAAGATCCTCAATGTATTGTATTTCAAAATGCCTATTCAGGCTTCTAAAGAAAAAAAAAAAAAAAAAAAAAAAAGCTCTATCTTATTAAAGCTTACTTAAAATTGTGAGGGATTTTTGTTTGTATGACTTAGCCAATTTTGTATAGACATCATTCAAGATTCTGTTCAATCTTTGTAGCCCTGCAGTCATATGAAAACCAAGATTGTTTCCTGCTTTACATGGTATCTCCAGAACCTTCTCAACATATCAGAATGGCCTTTATACATCTGCAGGCACAATACCCTTGAGATACAAAATTTTCCTCCTTCACCTCATGCTGCTTTACTTGACAAGATATGCCAGTGGGTGAGCATGGTGGAATGCCCAGGGAGGCATGAAGGACACTGTGTTCCTCCAGGCACCACAGAGCAACTGGCTTCCTGCAGGACAGAGACTGCCATGCATCTGTAGAAGGCAATACAATGCAACTCAAGAGGTTCAAATTAGTGGTGATTTCTTGTACAAAAGCAGTTAAGTAAAACAAGAACCGATTCATGTCTTATTGATTGCACAAAGATGGCTTTATCTATGCTTTTAAATTCTAGTGGGACATTCACCTGGGTCTGTTTTCAATATTTGCCTGAGTGAAGCAATGAACTAATTCTCCTCATTGAAAAGAATGTCACATAGAAAGTCAAGATAAGCAGCTCAAGAGTAGCTGCTGATGCTGTAGGTGTCTACATGGGTTTTCAGTCAGGTGAGGGAGCTACGGAGTTTCCATCTCACAGCCATTACTTACAGATAGCAAGTCAGAAACTGCTGCAAAATGGAGTGTTAGCAGATGCCTTAGAACACATTAATAACTTGATCAACAAGTAGTCATGACCTCTAAGGTAATCAAAATGAGAAGTTGCTGGTCTGAAACATGGTGGATGGCCTAATCATTCAAAACAGCCAGTGTCAGAGAACTGACAAATGCCAAGGATGTAATGGAGGTCTTTGAGAAAGAACAGAGGTAACCCTAGGAACAAAACAACAAGGTACTTTGGAAAAAAATCTATGCTAAGGAAAAGAGCTACTTAGACACATTAACTAAAGCTGATACAATGGGGATGAGTTGACATGCAAACATGCCTCCATTTGTGAATAAGGCATGTGACTAGGAGTAAAGTTTGAGAAGTTTTTAATAAATTTGTTCAGAAGAGGCTCTTGAAAAAATATATTATCTAAGACGAGAAGGATCCTCTCACATAATAAAAACACACTAAAAGCTGAAACAGATTACAAATAAACGGTTTTAATGGCTGAGGGCAGCTGCCATAACTGTCCAGGCAGTAAAGCAGCCAATGTTTTCAGTGTGGATAAACACAATGTAATCAGTCATGGGAAAACCAAAATACTCAACTAGCCTACAGGGTAATAGGATATGTTTTAGATATGATGAGAGATTAGATATGATGAGAAAGGAATTAATAGGCTATGTCAATACTGGTAATTCAAACTGGTCCATAAGAGAGTTTTAATGGTCAATAGTGTTTAAATGTGAGCATACTCCTTACACAGTCTAGTCCATACCAGTCTGAATTCTCCTGGGCGATGGCTGGGCAGGGTGCAAGAGCTGCCATTCTCAGCATTATAGTCTGCCTGCTGCTGGCCTATTTTCAAATAGCTCTGATAACATGCATGCAGAATTAAATGTGTTACTTAATCTCAGTGTCAGGGAATGGTCATAACCTATACTGGCATGACCATAAAAAAAGCAGTTCTACCTTTTCCACCTCACTTCTGGCTGCTCACTCCCATCCTATGTTCATTGTTTTGCACAAGCATTGCTGCAGCCACACCATAAAACCAGACCAGGAAATAGAGCTGGCTGCAAACCAACCATTTCTCCAGGGTTAATTTTTAAGACAGATCATTCCCCTATTTTGGGCCACTATACAGCTCCACAGGCAGCTGTGACAGTGCAAATAAGATACAAGGATAAGAATGAGTAGCTGAGGCAAGACCTACTTCTTTCACTAGGGATACTGGCTATGAAGCTAAAAGTATTAATTTGACCTGAGAATGAAGTTGCCTCATAAAACATGTAACAACACTAGCTCTCCCTCTCTTCATCCTCCTGCAACCAGAGACACACACTCCCTCTCCTGCTTTTGAATCAGGACGGGCATATCTTTGACCAGTGGTGAGCAGGTTCACAGGGCTAGGCTTGTAGGGAAGCATTCACTTATTGCTTAGATGAACTTTCTGGTTGCTCACTCTGAGGACAGAGGAGCACCAATGCCAGCTTAAGGGAAATAGAAAGACCACCCTTTTTCTCAGTGACTGTTAGCTCTAGTATTGTTAAAATAATTGGATATTAAGAGAAAAGACATTATTATCTGCAAAGTAGAAACATGCAAAAGAAAACAAAGAAATTACTTGTCTATTACCCTCTGTGGAAGATAGGTAAGGAAGAATTTTACTTTGCTTACACTGCCAAGATGGCTTGACAGCGTTCTGTAAGTGCTTCTCAATGAAAGTAGCAAGCAGAAAGGTTAAAAAACTAACAAGAAGACAGACACTTTTATATGACTTTTTATTAAATTGTGAAATTCATTATCAGACACTGTTGGGAAGACCAGAAAGATAAAATGGTTTTAAAAAAGGATTCAGACAGTGTAACAGAAAGCAGGGCAGCCAATAGCTATTAAACATTGCCACAGAAATGCTGACTGGCTGAAGGTGGGAAGCCTGTGTCCCTGGAAGGGTCACTCTATGCAGTGCACTTCCTCCTCTATTCTTTCCCCAACTATTTGCTACCAGTCAGTATCAGTAATGGTAACTTAAAATGTCAGGTCTTATGCCAAGTATGTCTTAAAATTGCTTCATAAATTTTCCAGTTATAATTTAGACTTTGCTTCAGAGTGTGTGAAAACACAGAAGGTTTTTTTCTCCTTTAAGGGAGAATAAGTTAGGAGAAACATCAAAGGCAAAAGGCTGAAGAGCCACAAACAAGTAGTATCATAACAAGGATCCTGGACCTACAGCTCTGGGGCTCCAGCCCAGCTCTCCTACTGTCAAATGAGCAAAGTCTAATATGGTGCTGGCAGCAAGGCAGATGAATGTAACTTCCAGATCAAGAAGGTTTTTTCCCAGTGTGGCAAATATTGGAGAAACTGCCAGATAAGATTTTTTTTGTCTACTAACCTGCAGGGTCTGCTTGCTTGGCAACTTAAATGGCAGTCATTATGTTTTGGGAATTGTAATGTAAATGAGCAATTTAAAGACAGTCTGGGATACAATCCCTTCCAAGGCTGCAGGCTATGTGGGCACTGGCTGTCCATGAGATCTCACGTGGTTTACCTTTTCCATCTCAGAGCCCTGCCTCGCCCACTGCATCATTCTTGGCTGGAATAACAGGCTGGAATTGCAGCTTTTAGCCATGGATCATGGATAGACCCGAGGATTTAGAGAAAGAACTGCCCTTGCACTCGCCATCAACTTTGTAGAGGGTAAGACCATTGACATCACGTTTGTACTGAAAAAGTGCAACTGGGTGATAAAAAGAGTAGCTTCCTGGTGGGTCATCGTTTTAGTGAAACTGTGGCCTCAGCATGTGGTACACTTCTGTGTGCCTGCTACATTGTTTCTGTGTCTGCATCAAATTGTAATAACTGTGAAGAAAATAGCTTGTAATTAAGCAACTAGGGAGACAGCAGATGGATGCAGACAGATGGAAGCACACTGGGAAGCTATGACACAACATTGGTCAGCATGACAAACAATAGTCACAGCACACATTCGGTGTAATGCCTAAAGTCTCAATGACAGTTATTGGTGAGTTTTAAGGCCATACTGGAAGGTAATTAAATAGCTGCTTAGATGCTTCTCACACTCCTTTGCAAGGGTGTGGGGAAGAATGGATTAAATGTGTTTGTTAGAAAATCTAAAAAATGTTTGAGAAGCTGGCACGCTGCATGTGGAGGCTCTCATTGCATCTGCTGATGTAGAGGAAGAGAAGCATTCATCTTACCTGTCTACCCAAAACCAGTAATGTGACAAAGAATATAAACAAAGAAATCGAGCCCATTGTCTTCAGGTCTTTCAATATTCCTGGCCTATAAAATAAAAATGTAAGTAAAGCAAGCTGCTCAAAAGTCAAAACAAAATAGCTAAAGCAATATTCTTGTGCTTCTTAGCACAAGAATAAGACTACAATTTATACTACTCTCTGGTATGTAAACTACAGTCATTTAAATATATATGCTTTATTATTTGATGAAATATTATTATATCCATATTGAAGCTTTACGTCTACTATATTCTATGAAAATTGCCTGCATTTTGAAGTCCACTACTAAGATGAGGATTTAGTAAAAATAACATCCTTGTTTGCTTACAAATGGGGAGCATTTGATGCTTATTCTATACAGGGAGATTAAAAAGATTTTTTAAATGTATTTGCACTACTTCTATAATGGAGAGCTGGATCATATCCAGTGAATGTCAGTTATGGAAACTAAAGCACGTAATTCCCAAGACACCTCTTCATCTCAGAATTACAGGAGGTTCAAACTAGATCTTGTACAGAGTTTATTAAAAACTCTGCTTTGGGAGAAGACACTGGAGGTAACGGGCAAGAGTTCACACTAGCAGTCTCGTACTGATGCCACTGAAAGAACAACCTTCGTAAGAGATTTAGGAAGGAAAATACCAACAGACATACAGCTTGACTGGCAAAATCAAGGCTGCCAGAAGCACATGCTAAATCTAACCTGTCACATGGTTCTCCATCCCATCACAGAGATATCCTTTCCACTAATGTAACAGAAAAACAAAGACCTGGGTTTGATTATGTAGTCTTTAGACTTAAGTGCAAAGAAAACATACACTTTTGTTAATTCTGATCCTTTTACATGGTCGTTTCTGTGTCCTAAGGAACTCATGCAGTTTAGAGTACAGGAAAAATGATACTGAAACTCTACACTGAATATTCAGGTTTTCTGTGGTGGCATACGATCTACACACTCAGTTTACATAGAAAAGAATCAGCGTGTGTTTTGACAATGAACTAGAAATGTATGTGTCCAAAAAAATATTTCACACATCATACTTAAGAGTAATAATTCTGGTTTTTTTGTAATATCTTCTACAACAAGGACTTCATCAGTCTCACTGAAAATTTAACATACAAATTTGCAAATACAGCAAAAAAAAATCCAAACTATAGGTCTAGTATTTTTTTCAACAGTTAAGACTGCATTTGTAAAGTTTCAAGACAATGTACTAGTTCTAAGAAAGCTGGTTTTTTTTGGTTTTTTTTGTTTTGTTTTTTTTTTCCGGCTTGCAGCAAATATACTTTAATGGCCATAATTTTGTTCAGCCTTAGACATTAATATCCTTAATGATGACTTCTTCTTAATGTTCTTTTATAAAAATGCAAATTAAACCATACTCTTATTTCCTACAGTGTTTGATTTAAACACCTTGCCCAGACTTGTTCATTTTATTCTAATGCTCCTAGCATGACATCATATGATATATTAACAGTAGCATGACAATGATTTTAAATTGTGACTTATAATTATATAGCCAAACACATAGAAAAATAAATCTGTTCTGTGACATAAGAACTGCCATAGGTAGTATTTACTTTCTATTAATTTCAGAAGGACTGGAATTATCTACCTACCTTCTAAGAGGTGCCATTGCATACATAAATTTGCTGTAGTCATCCAGCATGGACCCATGAGTGTGCAGAAGGATAACATTGTATCCCACCAATGCGATCAACATTATTACCATTTTCAACTCATAATTTATCCTCAGGAAAACTGAACAGGAAATGAGCCCTAATATGCAGCTGTATATAAAATACTGGAAAAGAAAAATCAAATGGAAAATATTTAGATTTTGGCTCTGGAGTGGGAAATCATACATAATAAAATGGCTTGGCTGGTTTAAAAACAAATTATTGATTGATCACTTAAGGATGGAATCTATCACCACATGTAAACAATCAAAGTATCTGGGACATTTACAGATAATCAATAACAACCAGATGTTGCTATTTTCTAAAACAGACCTTTTTTCTTACTAGGCTTCAATTCACCCCAAACCTAGTAGAATACAGATTATGCTCCTAATTTATGTTCCCTGATTTTCATCCTTCATCACTTTCGATTTACTTATCTGCAATAGCAAGCACTGTCTATATGTAGGATACCACTACTGGTGTTGAAGTCTAATGCAAGAGCCTCCTGTCAGCAGACTAACAAAAGATTTATTCCTATAGCACTCTATGATTTTTATTCATGCTTGAGTTCAATAACTACCCTGTATGTATTACTAGCATAAAGGTCAAGGTAAAATGTCTCAAGATCTGAAACCATCAATTATATTGGTTGTATCTGCAGTGTTTACAACGTAATGCATACACACAGTTATAACATAACAGTTATTATGAACCTCATAGATATGTCATTTTATGAACTCTAGAAATATGGCTAAGACATGGAGAATATAAAATGATCAACAACTTTCTGTCAAATCTTCTTGAGTTATGACTTCATAAGTATACATTCAATTGTTAAAAATAGCCTTTTCATATATATATCAGAAAAAATATGTATGAAGTTAAATTCCTGGAACAGTATTTTCTCTGGATACTTTCTGGAAATTGTTTAGGGCATCAAAATTAATGCTAAAACAGAAATAATACATTCTCACCAGAATCATTATCTTAGTCCTTAGCATACAGCACCTTTGCCAAAGAAGCTTCCTGAAAATTAGAGTCTTGTACCTTGCAAGGAAGGTACCTTTTCTCAAACTACAAAGCATTCCATTTCTAGGTATGCTATTTTCAGACTACTGTTGACTTGTTGATGGCAGTACTTCTGACACAACCTGAATCACTGTATAGCAATTTTGCAGGATCACTGTGAAGAATAATTTTCACAGAACCCATCAGATAGAATTGATCTGCCATGTGAATTTTTGCAGTTACTGTAATTTGCTTGCAGATCTGCTTGAAATAAGAAACAAAAATAACTACTGTTCTGAATCACCAAAAATAAAACTTCTCTGATGGCTGCATTCCACAGGAGGTCACACACTGAATTCAGTGTTACATAAAAGTAGCAGCATCCATTTTTTTCTCTGCAGGGCAGTCCACTTTTGAAATTAGTTTTCCAAAAACAAACAAGCAAACAAAAGACAACCTTGAATCCAGAACTGGATGCAGTTTGACAAAGACCAAGAAACTTCCAAGGGAAAAAGAGAGTCTCTGTTAGTGTTCCATAGGAATACATAGACTAGATTGAAAATTTCAGCTAAAATTTCAGATAAGGTTGAGTGGATTAGAAAGGAGTGGCACAGCCACACATTTAAGAACACAGACTCTGTCACTGTCCACTGCAATGCACGATTCCAGTAAGCAACAAGCAGATCTGTAAATGAGCCTGTGGGTAACTCTGCTTCAATGGCCACACCAGGTTATGAAGCCTTTTTTTTTTTTTTTTTTTAAATGACACCTTAAATAAACCTTTTTCCAACTTTAACTTGCATACATTCAAGGTTTCTGAGTGCTCAACACTGCAATCAGATTTTTTACTTCCTGTCAAAGGAACTGAAAATTCAAACTTTAATAAAAGAATTTGCAAATTTTAGTAGACACTCCAAGTATTGTAGCTTGAATTCTTCTCTCACCCTTTCAGCTTCTCAGAATAATGCAAAAGGGCTTAAGAAAAAAAAAAGAATTGCAAGACAAAATGTTTCAGAAGATACACTGCAGAGAAATAAAGGTAACTGGCATTCTAGCTAGCTTCCCAGAAGGATGCACGCAGCTACAAAGCAGACACTGGAAGATAGTAACAATTTGGTGAAGGAGTAGGCAAAGTAACGATAAGGAAAATCACAACTGGTGGAATTACTGTCATATGTATAGCCTGAGAGCTCTGGTCTTTGTCAAAGCACAACAACTGCAAGTTGTCAGATGGTAGCCTGTCTCTTGGGCCAAGCAGTGTGCTCTCAGTTCATCAAATGAACATGAACTTTCTCACAGAGGAATTATGCCTATGGAAAAAAAATACAGCTTTTGTGTGCAGGTATACTGTTTCTTAGTAAAGACCTGTTTCAGGCTCGTTCATCCTACACTCTGTAGAAACTAGTGAAGAATCACAAGGGCTCAAACTACACAGACACAGGCTTTTTTTCAAGGCAGATTGCTGCAGTGATACCAAACCTTTGTAGTAATCCTGACTGGAAGATCTTTGCAAACTGAAGACCGAGCAAACCACATAGCAGTGAGGCTGAGCACACACAGGTCCATGCTGTGCTCTGCATGTCCCCTGACTATGGGAGAACCTCAGCTGGTTCAGCCAACTTACTGCAACCAAGGAGCCTGCAGACAGCTCCTACTTGGTAGCAGTGGTTATGCCACGTCTGTGGCCTCGACTTTATCTAACAGTGCAGCAGCATGTTCTTATGAACACCAATTTTTATTTGACAGCAGAAATGATAAACAGAAATGTTTCCTTTTAAGAAAATCCTGGTAGAGCTAAAATGAGGAAAATGCCGGGTAACCTCTCTACAGGTGAGATCTGCACTACACGCTGTCCCTGACCTGAGGACTGTCCAATGCTGCATGATTCAGAGTTCCCAGCGTCTGAAGGAGTGTAACTCCATCTACTCTCTTCTCTTCCTGTGCTAACTCAAATAAGTGGTATTTTAACCAATATCTTACAAAAGCTGAGTGCTTTTGTTATCAGGAACACTACGCCCTTAGGATGTTATCTCCAGCCCAATGCATTTGGTCTCTTTTCTTGAAATTTAAGATCTAGAGTTCCATGGTTATAAAGATCTCTACTAAAGTAAGAAGGGATTCTACTCCAGTATGTCTATGGAGAAGAACTTGAGAAAAAAGTAATTTTGGAATTTCCTAATCAAATAAGGTGTACTCAAGAACTGCATCTTTCAGAAGTCAGTATTAAAACTTTTATTTAGTTAATATGTGGAAGTGGCAGCACTGATATCACACTGTATTTTATCACACAAAGAGACACGCATGACTTGAAATCTCCTCAGCCTGACTTCTCTTATGAGGAAACTACAGAAGCATCCTAGCAAAACTAAACACAAGTGAACCCTAAAACTTACTGTGTGCTCTTTCCCAAGTCTTTAAGAACAAGAAAGTAAGCAATACGACTAAAAAAAAGTTATTTTGGAGGATGGAAGAGAGGGAAGATCAATGTTTGCTTCAAAATTAACTACATTGTATTGAGTAGGGATAAAATCCCTTCTTCGCACATTTTAGATGACATACTCAATAGACCTGTCAGATCCACTACCTTAAATCACAGGAAGTTTATCTGCATGAATAAAGCTTAAAGCTAACAGATTCAAAAGACTGAATTTTTAATTTAAGGAAACAAACATTTGCCAGCTTAAGTACTCAATATCTCATTCAGTAAAGACAAAGAATTTTATTTCCAGTAGTGTGTGGGGTTTTTTTTAAAGGTGATCAAAATTAGTAACTCAGAAGGGATTTGCAGCTTTTTCAAGCTACAAGTTATGCAGTGCCTGAGGATGAAAACAATGTGCATTTGAGAGCTGTTAAATAAAAAAAGTGAGGGAAAAAATTGTTTAAAAACTTTACCCAACCTAAGCTTTTCATTTATTATTATTGGAATTGACATTTCAATAGTTAAAAAGTCTGTAAATCACTTATAGTTGGAAATATGCCAGTCACATGAAGAGCTGACAAACATTTTAGTTATTCATAGGAAAACAAAGGAAAAAGACATGTCAAGGTTTTTTTTAAGAACAGCAGATTGAATCTTAATAATCTTGATAACTGTATCCTTCAGATGCTTGTTGGAAAACTTACTGGTAAAAAAAGAAAAGTAAATACCTTTCAAGATGTTCAAAACTATAACAAGTATGTATAAAAAAAGATTACTAGAAAAACTGCTAACTAAAAAAAGCAAAGAAATATAAATAAGCATTGGAACAATTTATTTCTATGTGCTTCTGAGTGTGAACATATGCAGAGGCTGCGACGACTGCATCACTTCTTTGACAACAAGGACAACTTGATGTCAGGGCCAAAAGAAGACATAGGCAACTCTCCATACCTGGTGGTATTTAGTTAACTAAATTTGAAAAGGAGAAACAGAAACTTTGCTCTGCTGTAGCTTTATCAGGGAGATACTGAAAATCTCTGAGTGCTGCAGTTACTGCTGCTGGGTTGGTGTTGGTTTTTTGTTTTGTTTTGTTTTGTTTTTTTTCCAGGAGAGTTCTACACATAACTAAGATTTTTGTGTTTGTGTGTGCCTAGGATTGTTTAGCTGGACATAAAGAATAGCTGTTTCATGTACAACACACTGTGTGGAAATCAGCACATACCACTCTGCTACTGCAATGATCAATTCTGCATAGAGATAAAATAATCTCCCTTCTCCTCTTGCTGCTTCCTGCTTACTCATCCAAAGACTATTGATCTATTTTGGCAGAATACACAGCTTGTTGTGATCAACTGCAGGTCTTTTGCAATCCCTTTAGGAATCATTGCTATCTAGGATACAGATCACATTTTTGCAGGAATGTCCTTCCCCTCTTTCATGCATGTGCTGCCATGCTTTTGCTCACACCAAGAGATCTTCAAATCAGTTTAGATCTTTTAAATAGTTTATATTAGTGGTACATGAGTGTTGTTTTTCTCCCCTCTCAACCCATCTCTTAATCAAATATGCAATAACAGAAATGTGATGATCACAGATTTCACATTCACTGCCAGGTCAATGATGAACATGGTGGATATTTTCACGTCCACCACTGGCCCTTGTGAAACTAAGCTGCAGAATGACCTGGTTTTCTCA